ATTTCCTCTGATCTTCAACGCTTACGTCGAAGTAGCCCTTAGGGAATGGAAGACGAAATGTCAAGGTATGGGAATACCCACTGGGGACAACACACTATTTACCCTGAGCTTTGCAGACGATCAGGTCGTGATTGCGCAGGACTCATACGATCTAGAGTTCATGACTAAGAGGCTTTATCAAGAATACAACAAATGGGGACTTCAGGTTAGTCTAAAGAAGACCGAATACTTAGCTGTCAATTCCAACGCTTGTTTTGAAGTCTTCATTAATGATAACGTCCAGATTCAACAAGTAGACAAATTTAAATACCGAGGGTTTGGGCAAAATACGAGGGTTTGGGCAAAGTAGAAATACAAACCCGAATTCAGAAGAGCAAACAAGTTATTGGATGTCTTAACAGCCTCTGGTGGGACCGAAACTTGTCTGCAACAACTAAAAAGAGACTTGGAAGAACATTGGTGGAGTCAGTTCTTTTGCTATGGTTCAGAGCTATGGACTCTGAGTGCAGACGCGAAGCGCAAAATCCAAGTTGTTGAAATGGACTACCTTAGAAGAAGTGCAGGTATATCTAGGATGGAAAAAAAGACAAACATCGAGGTCAGGCGTATCATGAATGCATCGGAGGAAACAGTACTAGATCGAATCGAAAAATCCAGCTTAAAATGGTTTGGACATGTTCTGCGTATGCCGGAGAACAGGTGGCCAAAAAGAGTTTTTCAATGGGCTCCCCAGGGCAGAAGAAAGAGAGGTAGACCTAGAAAATCCTAGAACGGAACGGTTACGGAACCTAGAAGCTGATGACGCTCTAAATCGAGATGTGTGGCGTAGAGTAACGGGAAGGCAGCAATAAGCTGTAGTTGGAAATGAATATTAAATACTTAAACCAAACCGTTTATAAATTATTTAATAATGCTCATTTCTGTTAGACAGTTGCTTGATAACATGGTATAAAATATCTGCGGTCACTCTTTACAAATAACCATAGAAATAAATATTCATTGGTTTGTTCAGAAATAGTGCTAGTAATCGTATTTTAAGGTGTAAAGCATCGTCCTGAAACAATGCAGTGTCACGGGCTACCCGCCATAGAACGAATAAATTCAAACAACTGTCAATTTTGATTTTAGTTACTAAACTACGGTACTAAACTATGACTTTGGAGTTTGTTTTAGTAGTTTCGCCGAGGACACAACGTAATTCTGAGACCGAAACTTAATAAGAACCTATTACAACTGTAGTAAAATGTGTAACAATTGTGGAAATTAAAGATCCAACAGATGCAACATTTTTCATAAACGCTTATTTGGGCCGTTTGAAATTTTGACGCCAAATCCGGCATTACTGCATAGAAGAAATGTATCAACCCAAATGTTTTTCTCTTTTAATATATTTTATTTTTAATTAAGCTGTCTCGTCATCACTGTCTTACACGTTAAAATCCAGACCATGCTTCTACGATAACCAAATCTGTATGTATAATAACAATTTTAGTATCATTAAAATTTGTTATAACAATAAGACCATGTTAACTTAAAAATTATAAATAATTAATTTATCTTTGATTAATTCACCCCAAGTGATTTACATTTTATATTTTTTCGAACGCTGATAATCAAAAATATTCACATAAATTTTGCAAATGCGAATATCCATTACATCACTAACTGTCTACATGCAAATCTTTATAAACACCACAATAGCAAAAAATATATATTTTTATATTACTTTTTATAAAAGTAAAACCTCTGATGGGGTAGGGGACAAAAAAAAAGGTTTACTCAGATATTCAGAGGTTTTACTTTGATATGTACTCACACTGGGTTGGGGAACGTTTAGTTTTATTACTTTTTACACACTCAGATGCAAAAAAAACGCAACGGAGAAATTTTTGGTTAAATTTAAAGTAAAGTGATATATATTTTGTTATTTTTCAGCCCTATTTTCATAATTTTTTTAGCAAACTATATATTATTATATCAACTTTAATTCGTAAACTAAGTTTTTTTATAAACTTTAGTATTTGGCATATTATACAGGGTTAATCGGGGGATTGTTTTTTTACCTTAACTTTAAAACACCCTGTGCAATAATTTCGTGTGTAAATTTTCCTAAAATATAATTTTACGGTCAGAACCATGACTCCTGAGCATTTTGTTTTTTGATTCATGTCAATGCATGCTTTGGTTAATTTTTAAGAGCGAAATGAACAGTTTATTTCGCTCTGAGTTACTGATCACGATCAATTTGCAATTTTTTCAATTATCATTACATTTTGATGTATTTTTTTAATATGACGAGCTGGTTTAGGTCACTATTGTTGTAACGTCGTATTACGCTGCATTGGATACTCTATACTAAATTTAAAAGAAACGTTAGAGACTAACGATACTGTCCTGGTTTTAATAAACATTAATAACGATAACAGAACTAACGATATTAAAGAAAACATCTGTAATACTGAAGTACAGGGTGGCGCACCTCATTCGCCTCGGTTGATTATACGAAAACGGAAAGATGTAGAAACAAAATATTTTATGGGTATATATGTGGAAAGGCAATGTGCATAATTTAAAATTATTTTGAAATGTACAGGGTGTGTCAGAACTGAGATCCATACCAAAGTTATATTTTTTCTTATGGAACACCCGGTATTTTATTTCATTTTTGGATTCTTGGGCCCAAAAAAAGGCATTTATTATAAGGGTTAAATATGTTTAAAATCTTTAGTTTTTCAGATATTTAAAGATATTTAAATTTGCATGCCACAATAGATAGACTATTAACACCCTGTACATTACTTTTTATAATTAATTCTTATGCTGAGTTTAAAGGTAGAGAAATAAACTTTACTGAAAAATGGTATGGTTTCTTAAATTTATACATGGCTATCAAAAGTTGCTGATCTATTTTAAGGATATATTTTATATAAAAACTTTGTTATTTCAAATGTAACACCCTGTATTTTTTTAAATAAGATTTTGAATAAAAAGAGATTTTTAAATAAAATTGTAATCAAGATGGCTGGTGTCGCTACGGCATTTTTTTAGTGACAGTTAGTAACTATTTTCAAAGTCTACATTAGTTTATGGACATTATTATTTATAATTTAGAACAGTTCACTTAAATTTACCTACAATAGTTTAATAAGTAAGTATTCATTATTTTATCAAGAAAAATAAAGCAGTATCTGCTGGCGGAACGAATAGATATTTTAGATATGTTACTAGTGATATTATTTTGTGAGGAAAATTGCTTCTTGGCCTCAAGGGCTTATGCTCAAAGATATCCAAATAGGAATCTTCCTAATAAGAGTTTTTTTGAAAAACTTCTTGTCCTATTTCGCCTGGTAGTGTGGTTTATAAAAAACCTATTAGGCAGAAACCTGTCGTTGGAAGTGAAGAAAATGAATTTGCCGTAATTGGCTCTTTTATAGAAAATCCATGTATCTACAAGTCATCGTAAAATAATTCAAAGACTACTTCTTCGTTTTTCTTGATAGAATAATAAACACATGTTTAATAAATATTATTTATTAAACTATTGTAGGTAAGTTAAATAAAAGTAAACGGGTATAAATTTAAATAAGTCCATAAACTAATTTCGATTTTGAAAATAGCTACTAACTGTCACTAGAAACTGGTCATGACAACACTAGCCATCTTATTACAATTTTATTGAAAAATCGCTTTTTATTCAAAATCTGAGCCAGATAGGTATAGGAAACCCTAATATAGTTTGAAAGAGCATTCGAATCTGCTTCGATTTATTTAAAAAAATACAGGGTGTTACATTTGAAATAACAAAGTTTTTATATAAAATATATCCTTAAATAGATCAGCAACTTTTGATAGCCCTGTATAAATTTAAGAAACCAATACCATTTTTCAGTAAAGTTTATTTCTCTACCTTTAAACTCAGTACAAGAACTAATGTACAGGGTGTTAATAATCTATTCTACTGTAGCATGCAAATTTAAATATTTTTCAATATCTCAAAAACCAAAGATTTTAAACATATTTAACCCTTATAATAAATACCTTTTTTTGGGCCCAAGAATTCAAAAACGAAATAAAATACCGGGTGTTCCATAAGAAAAAATATATGGTATGGATCTTAGTTCTGAAACACCCTGTACATTTCAAAATAATTTTAAATTGTGCACATTACCTCCTCACATATACCCATAAAATATTTTGTTTCTACATTTTTCCGTTTTCGTATAATCAACCGAGGCGAATGAGGTGCGCCACCCTGTATACAAACAGAAAAAAAATTGTAAGAAATACCCTAATACTTTGTATTGCATCCCTTGGCTGATATAATTGCCTGTATACGTCCGATCATACTGTCATTGAGGCTGCATATACCATATTGCGTTATGCTTTCTCATTCTTCTTTAAGAACCTAGCGAAGTTCTCTTAAGAAAGCTGGTACCGCTTAGCGAGGTCTAATCCTCCTGCCAAGCATTTCCCAAACGTCAAACATGATGGTAAGTTCATAGTAGTATATAGTTCACAATAACCACCAAAGCGGCCTTGTCATATTGAACATTTACTTCAAAAAGAAATGATCATTGAAAAAATTGCAAATTCTTGGTGGCAAGTTCATTTCGCTCTTAAAAATTGACCAAGGCATGTATTGACATGATCAAAAAAACAAAATGCTCAGGAGACATGGTTCCGACCGTAAAATTATATTTTAGGAAAATTTACAAACGAAATTATTGCACAGAGTGTTTTAAAGTTAAGGTAAAAAACAATCCCCCGATTAACCCTGTATAATATGCCAAATACTAAAATTTATAAAAAAAACTTAGTTTACGAATTAAAGTTGATATAATTATATAGAGTTCGCTAAAAAATTCATGAAAATAGGGCTAAGAATAACAAAAATATAACACTTTAAATTTGACCAAAAATTTCTCTGTTGCGTTTTTTTTGCATCTGAGTGTATATGACGCAATCAACCCAAAACAAGTAATGAAATAATATTTACTTACCGTGATCTTTTGGATTTTTTAGATCGCTTGCTGGAACGAGAATCTCTTCCCGATCTAGAAAACCTTTTCTCCTGATCATAATCCTTATTGCTCATTGTTTCGTCTTCGCTGGTACTGATCTGTTGGATGTTCAAACCGTCTCTGAGTTGACTAATTGTAAACTGATCATTTAGATCGAGGTTTTGATTCGCTACTGTCATACTAAACGTACTTTCGGATATAGTTACCGATACGCTTTCATCTTCTGAGCCAGTACAAGGCAAAACTATAAAATAGAAAGGAAATTAGCATTATTTTGAGTTTGGTTTTGTTTGGCAACCTCAAAAAAATTCTCTCCAAGTATGAGCTCTTAATTTTAATATAGGAAGGCCTTTCAGTTTTCCATTTTCTTCCTTATAATAATAAGAAAGAAAATAGATTGCAATAAGAAAGAAAAAATCATATCTCGGTACCTACTATTTGGAAAGAATATATTAAGATTAGGGTAAGAAAACTGAAAAATTTGGAAAGAATATATTAAGGTATTAGGGTAAGAAAACTGAACGGCGGAGGACCTTCCTGTACAATTAAGAGCTTATACTTGGAGAGACTTTTTTTGATGTGTCTACCAACCTTTTTTTCAGAGTATAAGTGAAAAAAAAATAGTCAATTTTTTTTACCCACCCTAATAAATACATAATGCACAACCCACACACTTTGTCAACAACATTCTTTGTCATTGTCAACGTTAAAAAAACTCTCAACTGATAATAACAAATTGTGTCAAAAGCCAATTAATTTATTGAAACAATAATAATTTTACCATTGATTATTTTGTAAAATCTAAATCTAATTTAAAATAAAGAAAAATAATTTTACCGAATTTTCCATTAGACAAAAGATGACCAAAGTGCGCCCCATCCAGTCCTGCATTAGCTGTGCGTCTGTTCATATTTGGATATAAATTTGCAACGTCGTTGCCGTTAGTAAGAGCATTCAAAATTTGGAAATGAGAATCTAAACTAGTGCTGCTGTCTCTTTTACTGCCGTAACGAGAATGCATATTTGAAGAATTCCCTGTAAAACAAATGAAATTACATTTAGTGATGGGAAAACCCGATTAATTTCAGTAATCGAGTACTCGAGTATCAAGCGATTGCAATAACCGAGTGATCATACGGTTTTTTGTCCGTCGCATGTTGTAAGTACTCGTTAACGCAAAGCGCCAAGCAGTAAGCTGCGTGCGCAGAGCACATATTCTTTCGATAATGAACGGCAAGTAGTAAGCGGCGAGCGATTCGCTTGATCGGTTGATTTAATTTATTTCGAAGCATTGTCGATGTAGGTCGTAAAATTTTGTCGCTCAGATACGCAATGGATAAATATACCGGGTGCGTCTCAAAAGTGGCTCACCCCCTATAACTTTTTTATTTTTTCAAATAAAACAACGAGATTTGGTATGTTAGTATATGACATAAAGTAGAATTGATTGACATATTTAATTGTTTACGGTCACTTTCGGTTTCACCGGAAATGACTACAACTTTTGATTTTTAAATCGCACCCTCGGTATTTTTTTACTTTATTCGGTAGAAAATGACACTCTGAATAGAATGACATATCACATGCCAACTTTTGACATTTTCACATATGGTTTATTTGAAATTGTAACATGCGGTTCATAACGACAATTTGACTCGAAGTGCCAAGTGTGTGGTATCAAATTATTTGTAAAAAAATTCTTTTTCGAAATATGCTAATGAGCCACCCACGTTCCGTTTAAAAAAAATGAGATATGATCAAAAATACGATTTGGGCATCTTTTAACCGGCCAGGGCACCAGGGCACACTAAAAACATTAGACGATCAAATCTATTTTTCCAAGGCTCCTTGATTAAAAATTTGTGTTTTTAACACAACCATGGCACTCTAGATTGAAATTTAAAATACAATTTGTTTTTAAGCGAATATGTCAAAAGTTGACATTTGATACGTCATTCTATTTAGAATGTCATTTTGTATCGAATAAAGTAAAAAAAAAAAACACCGAGGGTGCCATTTAAAAATCAAAAATCGTAGTCAATTTCTGTGAAACAGGAAGTAACAGAAAACAATTGAGTACGTCAATCAATCCTAATTTATGTCATATACTAACATACCAAATCTCATTTTTTATCTAAACAAAATAAAAAAGTAATAGAGGTGAGCCACTTTTGAGACCCACCCGGTATATACGGCGTCGTATAAATTTGCTACCTGCAATGTATATAGAAAATTCGCTCGGCTTTTTATCGAGTATGTCACATTAAAATCGGATTTCAATTTATTTCATTCTAGGATCGCTTGCTTTCGTCGCTTGGTACTCGTCACTTGCATCGCTCGTTCATAATCGAGTGATGTCGGTTATTTCAATAATCGAGTACTCGAGCGAATTTTCGCTCGAGTTATCCCATCACTAATTACATTACATTATTTTACTCTATATATCTATATATGTATAACAGAGATAAATATTTATTTAATGATCTGTTATTTTATAATTGTTGTTTTTATAAATAAAACTCTTATTTATATTTAAAAATAAGAGTTGCAGGACAACAACTAGTACTTCAAAAATATAACAGGTATGAAAATAACAGTGCGCTAACAGGAGATAAGTTATAAGATAACAGTCCTCCGGCAGCGACTTTTCGCGATATAATATCAGTGTAGAGTGTAGAGTATTCGCGATATAATATCAGTACGAGTTTTACTAAGATCGTAATTGGTATTAAGCTTGCGATGTAAAATAGAATATTGCTTTATTAGGAGTAAAAATGACACTTTCTGCGGCGAGGCTGTACGTATGACATTACAGACGAGGCACAAGAAGTCATTTTTATTCCGAATAGAACAGCTATTTTTTTTCAAACGTCACAAATACTTTGTTAAACAATTACGTTGCAAATTATATAAAAGTATTTAAAAGTAATAGCTTTGTCAGTAATTATATATCGAGAAACTATGGTTATGCTCGTTCAATTTGAAACTTTATGTCAGTTTAATAATATACGTACATTTGTGTTTAAGAAACATTCAGGCTGAGAGCGTCGAGCGTCGCGTCCGCGTCGCCATGAAATCAAATCAATTCCCTTAACTTAAATTAGACCGTTCAGGCAGAAAGCGTCGCGTTCGGCGTTGCGCTAGCGTCCGTTGAGCGTCGAACGTAGAGTTCAATCTGAATTGTTTTTCGGCGAGATTTTTAGCGTTCAGTTCAGGTTGTCATAGGCAGTGGCGGATACAGAGGGGGGGCCCATGGGGTCCGGCCCCCCCTAAAATCTGTAAGGTGGGTTAAAAATGACGCTCTAAAAGGAATATTTTACATTATTTTTGATTTGGGCCCCCCCTAAAATAAATTCCTGTATCCGCCCCTGGTCATAGGCGTCTAAGGACCAGCACGCAGAGGCGCTAATCGCCGAAATACAGGCAAGACCTGCACTGCGGAATGCAAACTTGCCTCAATATAAAAATAGAAATCTGCGTGATCGACTACTTGAAGAAATACCTACAATTCTAGGTATTTCTAGTAAGTATTTTTTCCCAGTACGAGTAAATATATGAGAGCTTTCGAAATTTCTTTGTATGGGTTTTCTATACTGGCTAAAAGTATCACAATTGAAAAGGATCAGTTAGAGTCGTTTTTAATCCTCCCTTGGCTGGTATTAACTAATGGATTTGTTTATACTTATTATAATATATTAAAATATTAATTTGGATTAAATCTTAAAATGAAATATATTAGTTTGTAAAATGTGAATGTTTTTGTAGATTAAAGGAATTTGGTCTGGGTAGTTTTTATCTAAGGTTTTTGGTACTATCTATTTTTATATATATATATATATATATATATATATATATATATATATATATATATATATATATATATATATATATAGCAGCATATGTTGGTTGTTGATATATATACATAGTTGCTACAGCAGCAGTTGTTGCTATATATATATGTGTATATGTTACGGTTACGGTCCGATATTCGGTTAATATCGACATTACCCGGTTAATCTCGAGAATAACACAAATAAAACAAGCAAAAACAAAAACAAAACCAAACCCAAACATTAACCTGTTAATGTCGACATTAACCGGACATCGGACTCGGAGAGGCACTTCTCATTTGGTCTTCGTTGTGTTAATGCCTATAAATATAAATTCTTAAATATATTAATTAGTTTAACGGAATAATAATAAACTAAGCTCATATGACGCTGCGCTGACGCTCCCAGCCTGAACGACCGGACGCGACGCTAACGCGACGCTCTCAGCCTGAATGCACCTTTAGGAGTAAAAGTGCATTGCTTTTATGCCTAGGCGTTAAAATAGCGTTTTTATATTGTCAATCACGTCGAAAAAATTAATACTTTTGTGACGTTTAAAAAAAATATATTTTTTTCCCATTAAGCGAGTCGGCATTATTTTTTGATGGCAAAAACTTATACCGGGTGCGTCTCAAAAGTGGCTCACCCCTATAAGTTTTTTTATTTTTTCAGATAAAAAAACGAGATTTGGTATGTTAGTATATTATGACATAAACTGGGATTGATTGACGGTATTCAATTGTTTTTGGTCACTTCTTGTTTCGCCGGAAATGACTACAACTTTTGAAATAGCTCCATCGGTATTTTGTTGCTTTATTCGCTTGAAAATGACGCTCTGAATAGAATGACATATCATACGTCAACTTTTGACATTTTCGAATATGGTCTATTTGCAATTGCAACGTGCGATTCATAACGACAATTTAACCGAAATACCAAATGTGTGGTACCAAATTATTCGTAAAAAAATGCTTTTTCCAAATATGCTAATGAGCCACCCTGGTTCCATTTGAAAAAATTGATTAAAAATAAAAGATATGATTAAAAATACGATTTGGGCATCTTTTAACCCGCCATGCGCCAGGATAAGATACTAAAAACATTAGACGATCAAATCTACTTTTTCAAGGCTCCTTGATTAAAAATTAGTGTTTTTAACATAGCCCCATTGCACTCTAGATTGACATTTAAAATCCAATTTTGTTTTAAGCGAAAATGTCAAAAGTTGGCATATGTTATGTCAATCTATTGAGAGTGTCATTTTCTATTGAATAAAGTAAAAAAAGAGTGCCATTTAAAAATCAAAAGTTGTAGTCATTTCCGGTGAAACAGGAAGTGGCCAAAAAGAATTGAATACGTCAAGAAATCCTAATTTACGTCATATACTAACATACAAAATCTCGGTATTTTTATCTGAAATAATAAAAAAGTTATATGGTGAGCCTCTTTTGAGACGCACCCGGTATAGATAATAGTACAGCAATAAACAACTTGTGTCCATTGCTGCGGTATATTTTGTACCAATAAGTACCAACGTCACTAAACCCATATCAAATGTTGAATACAAAACAAAACTAGCGATTTCTAATATACAGGGTGGTCCCAATTGTAATCGCGAAACATCGCCAGCATATTCTGCAGACAAAAATAAGTAAAAAGTTTCAAACAATTTTTATGAATAATGCATATTTCTCAAAATGTCAATAAAAAAAATATTTTCCTTTTGTAAAGACAATCCGGGGACATACTGTATATCAAAAATTTGAGAGTACACAGCATCTTGCTGATAAACTCCGTTCCTTTAAAACTTGTAACTTACCAATATTCCGTGAGCGACTTCTAAAATGATGTTTGAAAGAGGCCTTTACTTCAGCTATTTGCACTGATACTTGACTATCCCCTGAGTTCATCCTCGATTCTATGCTCACGTGCCTAGTAATTATAGTTATATATGTTACAGTAAAAGTTGGAAATCAGTGATTGTAAACAATTTCTAATGAAAGCTCACATTCACTGATTTGCTAAGACTACGCCAGTAAAAGTTCAACAGCTATTTTTGAAACCAACTTTTACTAGCGAATGCTAGTATTCCCTGGACGATAGCAGTGAGTTTGAAAGATTCAGTTAGCGCGGTTGCCACATGATGTAAAATATAAGGATATATAAGGATAAGTTGAATAATAGACAATATAAGGATAACATTAAATTGGGCTAAAAGTTGGCAACGTTGACAGATATCTGGCGTAAATTCGCTTCTGTGGTTATGTATAATTGTTTTGTTATCGTTGTAAAAAGTGCTGTACGGTATTTTCCATATGGAGGAAATTTTCTGTGAAAAATTAAGGTAAACTAGGCACTCGGAAGAATGTAATAGTGATTGTTTTTCATTTTTGCAATATAATGAAGTCATACCAAAGTTAAGCATGCAAGAGAGACACATATATTAAGTAACCTAGTGACTATGAACTTATTAAACGTTCTGATATGCTTGAAGTAGAGTTTGAAAAAAATTGAATAACCCCCATTGAAGAAAATTCGGGCATACTTTATTTTGTCCACGATGAAGAACTATTAAAAAAAAACTTGTACCAACAAGTAATCTCATGTTTATGAATGAATATAAAATTTTTAAAAATATACTAAAGAAGTAAAATGTAATTTTAAGATATGTGGATCAGTTTGAATATTAAGGTCATCCAATATTCTTAAAAGTTTTATTTCTTCTAACTTCCACTAACACTCTTCCTCACCACACTCGCTCTGTACAATAGAATAACTTTTACTGGTAACCTTTAGTAAATGTTACTTTCACTAGTGAATGTTAGAAATTACTAGGAAACGTCGACAAATCTCTTTAAAATAACATATTCACTGGTCCAATGCGTAATTTTTAGCATTTCCTAGTGAATGTTAATAATTACTGAATTTCCGACTTTCACTGTAACATATACATTTACTAAATTAACTTATTTTACCTGTAGATCACGCTTAAATCGCTCATCAAGTCAGAATCTAGGGCCGCTTGTCTTCTATTTACCAATCTCGGCAAATACCTTACGAACGACGAGCTGAGCTCGTTACTGGCTGCGCCATTTAATTCGAACTGTAGCCCCACAGGATCAGTATGGTTCTGGCTCCAAACCGATATATTTTCGCCTTCGTTATACTTCTTTCGTTTGGAATATACCCGGGTAATTATTTTATGTTTTTGTACCTTCATAGGCATTGTTTCCGTATCTTCGTCCATTTTTCCGCAACATTTTCTAAGTAAAAGAATTAAGCTTATAAAATGTGTGTTATAAATACCGTATGACATAAGTGACGTCAGAATGGCGTCTCTAACTATGAACGTAAAATGCTAGTTTTCAATTATGTTTTTGAACACTGATTACAGTTCAGAGTGTAATCAGTTTTCAAAAAAATAAATTTATATAAACAATAAATGTATATAATGAAAGTATTTCAAAATTGGCATTTCCTGATTGCCAATGGTACTATACGGTCCTGGTCACTTTATCTCCGTGGTATGTATTTTAATGCAAGCGACAAAAGAGAGAGGGGCAAAACAAAGTGACATACAGCGTTGCGTGTTGCCAGTTTTTACGTGTATAGGCAGGGATATGTATGGATAGGTAATAAACTTCGCATTTTTCTCTCTCCGACTTACAAAATCGCCATAGCTATTCTAGATATGTCGGTAAACGCCGACCCAAGACACTTCTCTTGTCAAGACGGAATAAGTGTACATATTACCTTAGCTTTAAATAAATTAGAAAAAATTATCTATTTTAAAAACTTTCATGTGTAATCTAAGCTAAATATAATCTTACAGCTGTAGTAAAATGAACAACTAAGGGCGAAAAATAAAGTTCCAATCCTAGATGCAACATTTTTCGTAAACGCCTACTTGTGCGGTTTGAAATTTTGACGCACAATCCGGCAATACCGCATGGAAGAAATGTATCAACGCGACTTTTATCACTTTTTAATACGAATTTGATTTTTCATGTGTCAGCTGTCTACATCGCATTAAAATCCAGACCATTTTTGACCATGACCGGATCGTAAAATTTCTATAACAGAAATATATAGTTCAAGAAGTCTTTTTAGTCTTATTGTAGAACATTACCGCGCAACAAAAAGTTATGATGTTTTTTTGTTAAATATTATTTTCAGAGACACCCTGTATAAATATTACAAACATGTTTTTATCTTTATACCCGATTCATGGAAAACGTCATGGATAACTCCGATCCACAAAAAAGGAAGGAAAGATATTGGCACTAACTACAAATGTATAGCTGTGTCTAGCACTCTTAGCAGACTGTACGGAAAAATACTTAAAACCCTAATAGAAGATGAATTTAGTCTCCATGAGATTGAAGAACAAGCCGGGTTCAGGGCAGGCCGCTCATGCATTGATAATATCTTTCCAATAACTCACGATCATTGAGAAAAAGACGGCAACGAATAACAACCAAATTCATCTCCTGTTTGTGGACCTTAGTAAGGCTTATGATACGGTACCAATTAAGAAACTATAGGAAGTTCTCGAAAAAAACCCAATAAATATAACACTAATAAAAGCGGTACAGCAACTTTACTGCAGTTGTTCCGCAAGAATTAAAATAGGCCCAACTCTATCTGAATTATTCCCAATATCAAAAGGTCTAAAACAGGGTTCTTGTCTGTCCCCAACTTTATTTAAAATCTACCTATCAGAAGCTCTTAAGCACTGGCGCAAGAAGTGTTCTCAGATGGGAATACCTATTAATGACAACCTTTCTCTGTATACTCTGCATTTCGCCGATGACCAGATAGTAATGGCCCAAGACAAAGAAGACCTAGAATACATGACCAGAAAACTGATAGAGGAGTACGAGAAATGGGGACTGGAGCTAAACAAGAAGAAGACAAGATATATGTGTGTTGGGGGCGAGTTGGAAGACCTAGTATTAAATAACAATATAAAAATCGAAGCTTGCGAAGAATATATGTATTTAGGGGTAAAAATCACAAACAAAGGGAGATGCGAAAAGGAAATCGAAGAACGGATTGGTAAAGGCAGAAAGGTGATAGGAACGCTGAACTCGGTGCTTTGGTCTAGGGATATCTCGGATCACAGAAAAAAACTGATTTATAACGCGATTCTGAAAAGCATAATGTTATATGGCTCTGAGATATGGCAGTTAAGCAAAAAACATAAAAAGAAGTTGTTGTCGACCGAAATAGACTTCTGGCAAAGATCAGCCCGAATCTCCCGTTTAAAAAAAAATGAAGGTGAAGGGTAACATTGTACAAGATATACAAGAAAAACAACTGCAGTGGTACGGCCATGTACAACGAATGGCTGACGATAGAATACCAAAGCAAATGTTGCAGTAGACACCTACAGACACGTAAACGAGGCCGGCCTAAACTCTCCTGGAATCAAGGAATCATGACAGAGCCATGTCGGAAAGGAACCTACCAGGAGATTGGGACAATAGACGGAGGTGGCGCATGGAGACCTGAGGGCGACAAAGGACGCTGTAAAACCGGACATACGTACATGTTTTTATCTTACCTTAGAATCTTTCTACTGAACCTTCTCCAAACACGGAACGTGGCACAACACCACGTCCACGAAGCCATTGCAATGCCTTCTCCGAATATTGCCAATAATTGTAACTGGAGCATTGCAACACTAGGCCTTTTGTTCTGTTTGCAATGAGAATAGTCCATACTGAAGCTGGTCAATTTACATCTAAACAATTTCTCAATAATGTTATTTCGAATTAAAATACATAAAATTATAGTCTTTCAACATACCTTGACATGCACAGATCAAAGTCTAATATATTTATATACTCCTTTAAGTGTTTTATACCTAAAAATTCCCAAATTACATGCTACAGAAGTTAGTTTTGTTAGTGTTGGAATGAGTGAAATAATCTAATTGATTTTATAAATATTTTTGATATATAAGAGTGTGTTAGTAAATAAATCTACAGAAAAACATAATATCACAGTATAAATATGAAATCCTTCTACCCTGTTATTGTACTTACAAAATATAATCTTCTAAACTGACATTCCACTGGTCTCTATTTATAGCCACGTATATATGATAACTAATAGTAACTATGCAGAATAATACCATAAAAATTATAAAAACTGCCATTCTGACAATAACTGACTGTATTCTTCTAGCAGAGGTTTGAGATATAACTTCTTCGCTTTCACTTTTCACTTCAATCAAGAGTATTAAACCTACAATTTGAAATTAAAAAAAATCTAAATAAATAATACAACAAAAAAATAATACCTTGAACTATGAAGTATATTGAAATTAACCTTGTTGATATTAGAGGAGCCAAATAAAGTCCTTTTGCATATAAATTAACAAATCCAACAAAACATATGCCCATAGTATAATCACCATCAATTTCACCTATAGCCATTGTTGTTATAGTTAAAATTAACGGTAGACTCCAAGCTACCAAATGGAAGTAGGCTCTTTTCTTATCTACTCTATCCTGTATTTTTCCTAAAAGTTATACATATTTCAGGAGCTTAATACACCATACACTTAAGCAGCGAGAGTTCCTCAATAAGTGCAGATGTGCACGTGAACCACCAAATTTAATGTCTTTTCTTAAAAAAATTAAATAAATAAAATTAAATTTTATCATTACTTCATTAGTTCTATTTATTCCAAAAATGATTCGTTACAGACTTGAAATTAGAACACATACCTTCGCGTCGACTTTATGACGAAAAGGCATATCTCAATAATTGTTGGTGATTTTGAGATATCAAAGCAATGCATGGCCCATTGGGTCATTTTTAAACATACCGAATTTGCGCATCACAATATTATACCTTTTTCATTTTATAATCTTTTAAAAATTTGCCCTATCTCAAATACTAGAATTCTTCATTATGACGAAGGGACGTATGTCGAGATAGGACTCTTAAATCAACTCAGAATGAGTTGACTCTGCGCATAGTCCAGAAAATTGTCCAAGAAAAAACGGCCGAAGGAAAATTGACCGAAACAAGGATTGTCCGAATGGAAAATTGCCCGAAATAATAATTTCCGTAAGAACATTTTAGCGAACCAGAAAGTTGCCCGAAAAATACAATAATTGTCAGTTTATTATCATTTTCCGGCCATTGTCATTGTCATCCCTGCGAATTTCTGGAAAATTGTAATTATTGTGTCTATCATTAACCAGCATAAACACTTCTTTAGAATGGAAGTTGAATCTGTAATTAGTAAACAGGGAAAAGAGAAAGTTCACAGTTATTTTATCAAAAAGCCACGGTGAAGAAACATGTTTTGTTTTTGTTTAGTTTGGTTTTTATTAAATGGACCGTATGTTTTATATGTCGTGTATTAGAGCAATCTTTTACCAAAAATCAACGTCGTGGGGAATGTTAATTTCTGTCAATTGTAGTTCGATGCTTTTCTTTTTCGGGCAACTATCTTTTTTACTTTTCGATGAATTGTTTTCGGGTAATTCTCCTTCGGTGAATTTTTGTCAAATAATTTTACTAGATTCTATTCTAGTCTATTTATGCCCAGCTGTTACCGGTAATTCGTGAAAGTTATAGAACAAGAATCCTAGAACGATAGCAAATTTGTGATGAAATTTGAAGATGTGATGTCGGAATCACATTCTAAACTAAATTCAGGACCAAAACCTATATTACGAAAATATCAAGATCTAAAACCCCTTTGCACTGGTGATAAACCTGTCATTAAATCACCAGATGTTTTATTTTAAATCATTGCCTCAATTAACTAAATAACTACTAAAAATATTGTTACGGATTCCATGGGTCCACTATTTAAACTCACGATAAAATACTTAACGAATTTATTTGTCTCACTCTGTACACACAACTTATGCAACTACTATTACTCGAACGGTATTTCGCGGTATTTTCAAACTTCAGACTTCAGACTATCTTCAGACTTGTCCAACTGTCAAAGCGCGGGCCTTATATACCCCCTGGCGATGGTTTCTGGAATTTTCTAAAGAATTCTGTAATTTTCTTTTACTTTCTGTCGAATTCGCCAGGTTCCTCAATGCACGTTGCGGTTATGCAACCAGTAATACACCTTGACCTTAACAATATATTAGTACTTAGATAAATGTATTTTCGTATAAAAAAAATAAATTAATATTAAAATAAGCTAGATAATCGTATTTTAATTTATCATCCTTTTTAGAATGAACATTGTTTTTCTTCTCTGTTGATTTGAAAATATTTGTTTCTGATTTTTTGGTGATTTCTACTTTTGTTCTTGTATATATCTAATTCTAATGCCGGCACCGCACCGCATATGCGGCATTTGGCGATTTCCGAGCGCTCGTCGCCGATCTCCGATCACTGTGGACGGGGAAGTTGGAGTTCGGCGACTAGGTCGACGACGAGAACGAGCGTTCGTCTCTGTGTTGTTGCTATCAAAGCTTGGCGATACCCGCATGTGTGGAGGGAAAGGCGAAGTCCGATGACGAGCGCTTGGTCTCGGTAGTTGACAAGCATGTACGTTCGCGGCATAAAGTGAAATTTAATTCACATAGGCGTAGGTATACTATTCGGTCGGTAATAAATTTATTGTATTAAAACCTTAGAATGTTTCCTCAAAGTCTCTGTTTAAGTGTTAATACAAAAACGCTATTAAAAAAATTAAAAACTTTACATTTATTGGCCAAAGTAAATGATTTTCTTTAAATTGCTCTCCTGATAAGATAGCAAAAATTGAGATACGCCTTTTCGTTGTAAGGCGACGATACTTTTTTCCACATTTCTTATCTGACCTATCTATTACTTTATAAACAAAACTCTCTGAATTATTCCTTCCAAGGCACTAGAACTAAGAAACTAAGGAAAATGTTCTCCCGGGGAACTAGAATTTCCACCTCTAATTTGCCTTAGATCGACGATTTCGCAGCATTAAAGTTCTTTTGGGCGCGGTCACGTGACATTTTTCTAAGGTGAACGCCAAAATCATTGAACGACGCGCCGCCACTGCACATAGTTTACCTTTAAAGTGATTTTTTTCTTACCTAGAGCTTGTAGGGAGCTCATGTACCAAGCATAACTGAAAATCATAAACCATACTAAGCCAGCAATGAGAAAATAATACACCAAAAAGAAAATAACGACACACGAGAGGTTTTCTGTGGCGCTAGGTTCTGATTTTCTTAAAGTCCCGTCCTTTTTACAAACGATATCTTCTCGAGTGTCATATCCTGAAATTAAACATTACTTCAGGTTATAAAGCTGTATATTTATTTAATACATAATACGTAATTACCTATAAATTGAACTATCCACCCTACATTAGATATAAGGAAACAAATATTTACAAAAAATATTGCTTTCACTGGATACTTATTGGCTGTTCTCCAGTCCATAACAAATGTCATTATTGCAATAAAATTTCCAAGCACAATGCATATACTAGCACACCATTTTATTAAGTTATGAATTTGATCAATTTCGTTTTCTGTGTATAAAGAATCTTTACAATGCAAACCACAGCCTTCAACATCTAAAAAAAAACAGATTATGTAAAAGTATACATTATTTAGAAAATATAGAGAATTCGATAAAAGTTGGTGTGCAAGTCATCAAAAACGTCGAAACTATTTCCAAATTATCCAGCTTATAATCTTATATCCCGATTAAAAAAGTCATCTAGTAAACTAATAAGGCTTTTTGTTGGTAACCTGATTTTTCCCATTTTCGATGTTATACTGAGATTTCTTTGACAAATTTGAAATTAAATCTGAGTTTTGTTTATTTGAAACTGCGACTTTTATTGCAATAACATGCCAAAATCACTAAATAGTCAAAATCAGCAACATCTTGTCTTTGCTCAATTATTTTGAACAGAAAAAGGATCATGTTGAGTCCCTCTTGGCGCGAAACCGCGAGAAACTGTGTTAGCCCACGGCCACATAGAAAGCGATTTTTGCATGAAGCCTCTTTTGCAACTAAAACAAAATAACAAAATTATATAGGAGTGGCCCGACCAAAAGCCTGTAGCGTTCGGCGTCAATCTCGTAAAAGACGCAAATGAAAACAAATCAGTTTGTTTTCTGTAGCGTCTTTAGCGATTTCTAAAGGTGCGTTCACATCAGCTGCGCCGCTCTGCGCAAATCATATTTTTAACATATACTTTTGTGCGCGCTAAAAAATACACTTCAAAAGTACGTGTTAAGAAAATGTTCTGCGCGGCGCGGAGAAGTGCAGCCGGTGTAAACGCACCTTAAGATGAGACCCCGTCATAGGCGGGCGTAATATTTACAATACAATAAAAATAAATTAAATAGTATGCATGCAATAGACATGTTCACTAATTTCTAATTTCAATGAATTTCGATAGGTACATATGAGTAAAAAAACATGGCACTCAAAATTTTTCTTAAAAACTATAATTTTCTCACAAAAACGCAAAACAAAATTGAGAAATGCAGCAAGGCTAGAAAACGTACCCGGCTCGAGGCTACATGTTTTTTACGTCACTGCTTTGATCGATCGATGGCGTCCGTACGATCGTGCACTTGCCGCATTGTTTTTATAGACGTTCGCGTAGGTGTATTGTTTATTTTCATTGTTTTGGTGTTTTGAAGAAGTAAATGAGTTCAAATAAGTGGTGTTTTGTCCCTGGGTGTATTAATACTTCAAAAAATAATTCACAGAAGTTTAAATCGTTTTTTTTTGCACCCCTTGCTTTTAATTCTTTTTTTCTACTTTTAAGTGCATTTAATTTTAAGCTTGTTTTTAAAAAGTTTTTTTTATCAATTTTTTCACTTGTAAATTTTTCGCTTAATATGGGTTCTATAGTGTCCAATTTAAAATGAGGTACATAAGGATCTCTCTTGGAAACTGTTGAATATACAAAGTCGGTTAAATGGAAGCAAAGTTGCGAATTTGTGTGCCCAAAAATAATATATGTCTATTTTATTTTAAATCCATACCGTTACGTAGATACAAGGTGAAAAAAAAATAACATTTTCGAAAAACCACCATATTTTCTTTATTATTGGAGTTAAGGTAATCAAAATTTCAATATATGGGCAAGGCAACATGGCAATTTTAAAAATGATATCAAGAAAAACCTAGGCCTTCTATGTTGCGCACGGCCGAGGTCAGCTTTTATTTTTCTTATGAGCACCATATTTAAATTTGGCATTTTAAAAATCCTCATTAAAAATGTTTTCAACCATGTATTTTAATATGGCGCCCATAGGAAAAGCAAAAGTGCACTTCGGCCATGCGCAACGTAGTAAGCCTAGACTTTTTTGAACATGATTTTCCATATTGCCTTACCCCTATGTTAAAATTTTGATGACCTTAGCTCCAATAATAAAGAAAATATGGTGGTGTTTAGAAAATGCACATTTTTCTTTTTCTCCCTGTATTTACGTAACGGTATATAAATATTAAATATAATAGACCTTGATTATTTCTGGATACACAAAAACGCAACTTTTCTTCTATTTAACCGATCTTGTAACTTTAACGGTCTTCAAGATCCCCATTATTCCCCATGCAGGTACCTCATTTTAAACTGGACACCCTGTATACGTGTGCGAATTTTCAGGTAAATACAATTAAAATTTGGCTCCTTCTCCTTAATACGGCCCTATATCAGATCAACAATACAATAATTTTATATTGTCTTAGCTTCTACATACGCATGCAAATTTTCAGTTTAATATGATAATTAAAATTTAAAATTTGGCCCCCTCCTCCTAAATACGGGCCTTTGACAGCTCAAAAACTCAATAATTTTGTATTGTCAAAAACCTAGTGTTGTTTGTTATCGCTTTCAAGTAAACCCCTCCTCCATCTCACTTAAGTAAAGCTTTGTTTTTAAACTAGTAATAAACTCCAAATATTAATCACAATAAACCAAATTTAATATATGCAAACTACATCCGAGCACAACGCGATATGTCGTATTCTAGCTTGTTCTGCTAGAAATTCCACAGCGTGCAGACAGCATCGTTTACTCGCGCGGAAATACCGATCGAAGCAGTGACGTCAGGCCGCGTTTAGCAGATTCAAACAATTACGATAATTTCGCACGGATTTTTGAGGCATAAGCATAGATAAAAGAAAATAATCTTCTATTGGCATAAGCCTTTTACGGAATGTTATGAAACTTCGCATACTGAGTTTTAATGTCATAATGAATGATTTTATGAGAAGTAGGCACGTTTTAATTTTTTTGTGAACATTTCTATTGGTAATATTTACTATTCTATTATATAATTATTTATTATATTATAATTATAACATACAAGTAACCACAAAACTACAACATAAAAAATCAATACACAAATAAACTAAAATTCCTAAAATAAATAATAATAATTATTTTTACACACACCACTGGCACTATAGTCTGGTGAAACGAATAACTTTGAATTTGACAGTTCCCGCGGGCTTTTCTAGTGTTAATTTTATTAGGTTAGCAACTTGCGGCCATGCATTTTTCTGTGTTGTCTGATATTTAGAAATGTCAAAAGCTGATGACATTTTAATTTTGATAATTATGACATTTCGTGTTGATTTTTGCAAGAAGAGGAAGAACTGTCACTTGTTTTATTATTTTCCTTTTCTATTTCACGAAAGTAAAAAGAGTTACCTATCTGATTCGTTCAGGCACTCAATTTAAAGACTATCAGTAACTTTTTTGACAGAGGGATTTTATATTTGCCATGTTGGTAAAAAATAACGGTCAAAATTCAAAGTTATTCATTTTATAGACTATAGCAGTAGTTCAACGCCCGTCCAACGATTGATCTGAGCATATTTTTCATTGTGTCCTTCATCTTCGTCTTTTCAATTTATTTATTGTTGAACGGGCCGGGAATTCCAAGAGCTTTTTCGTTACTAATCGACAGCTTGATAGAAACTGGAGACCTGCCGCTTCTTTTGCGTGTTTTTAATGGACACAAATCGAAAAAAAAAGCTTCAAACGGTAAAATCGCAAAAGCGCTTCACACGCAAAAAAACAAGAAACGCTTTCTGTGTGGCCGTGAGCTTAGAGAGGTAAAAAATGATATTATTGCTTAAATTATGCGACTTTTATTGAAAATACACAGACCTTCAAGCTTAAGATTTAAATGTTTCAGTTGGGCTCAATATCAGTTTACGAAAAACTGAGTAGAATCTCACAAAAGGTAAAGACTAAATGTTAACTAATTAGAACTTTAAATTTTTAGCATTCGTTCAGAGAACTTGCTAATATTTTCATTTAATTAGAATTTGTTTGTATAATCATAGATAAAGTAATAATGTAGGTATTGAAAAATATTTAATATATTGAGTGAAATTGAAGTGAAAAATTGGTAACAAAATTACAAATTTTATTTGACATTTGTAAGTCAAAGTAAAAACTAAGGCAAAAATCATTGGTAAAAACAGTAGCAGAGGCAACACTGTGAAGTGCATTCGTCAATTGTGGTCAGGGTGAATCTACACTATCCTAAAAACGGCGTAACGACATTGAATCGATTTCCAGTAATTCTATTGGCTGAAATTTTTGATAGATGATTTTGACAGATAAAATTTCTGACAGATGAATTTTTCAGCCAATAGAATTACTGGTCATCTATTCAAGGTCGTTACGCCGTTACGCTGTTTTCAGGATAGTGTGGATGCACCCTCAAATAACTATTTTGATGACATGCATGCCAACTTTATCTTTAAAGGCCGCAATTTTACTTGCATGCAACGCAACAAAAGTTGCAGCTATTTTACGCAGCTAAGTTCCAGTTCACTTTACAGACAGCAATTTTTACGGAAATATTTTGTTGCATTAGACATTTATTAGCTGCATCGCGTCATTTGCAAATTTCAAGAGAACAGGAGAAAACATGATAAGCGCCAAGAAATTTTAGGGTTTTACAATATTACAGTAGGTTCAACTTATAGGTGGGAATTCTAGTTCCTTGGGAGGAACTAGTTTCTCCAGAGGAATAGTTCCTTGAACTAGGTCTTTAGTTGACAATAGTTCCCGACTAACATTGACATCCCCTTGCTTGCTAATGCGTTTCGTTGTCAGTCAGAACTATTCACAGTATGATCTGTATAATTTTTATAATGTACGTAGATATAACGAGACGTGTAATTGTGTATGTTAAAAACATATATAGGGAAATTGGAAGAACTTTCGTTGCACGTCATTAATGACACCATGCGTCGTCTTATGGAGTTTGCTGGTGGTCGTATTATGATGTACAACGAAAGTTATTTTAATTTCCCTTATAGGTAAGTTTTATAGCAGATAAAAAATATAAAAAAGAAACTCAAATCAGAGTTTAAAAAACTATATCACAA